GTCTGAGAACCCCTCGGTGTATGTACCGGGTGAGTGACCCAAAATCACCCCAAAACTGCCCAAAATCACCCCAAAAACTGCCCCAAAACCTGCCAAAAATACTGCCCCAAAATCACCCCAAAAACTGCCCCAAAACCTGCCCCAAAACCTGCCAAAAATACTGCTCCAAAATCACCCAAAATCACCCCAAATCACCCCAGCCGCTGCCGGGGATGTCTGAGAACCCCTCGGTGTATGTACCCGGTGAGTGACCCCAAAACTGCCCAAAATCACCCCAAAACTGCCCAAAATACTGCCCCAAAATCACCCCAAAAACTGCCAAAAATACTGCCCCAAAATCACCCCAAAACACCCCAAAAACTGCCCCAAATCACCCCAAAATCTGCCCCAAATCACCCCAAAAACTGCCCCAAATCACCCCAAAAACTGCCCCAAATCACCCCAAAAACTGCCCCAAAAACTGCCCAAAATCACCCCAAAATCAGGGATACTCCCAAATCCAGGAGGATTTTGGGGTTTTTGGGGATTTTGGGGGATTTTGGGGTGATCCAGGTGTGATTTTGGGGTGATCCAGGTGTGATTTAGGGGATTTTGGGGTGATCCAGGTGTGATTTTGGGGTGATCCAGGTGTGATTCGGGGTTTTTGGCCCCCCCAGGTGTGGTGTCCACGGTGGTCCCGGACTCTGCGCACAAACTCTTCATCGGGGGCCTCCCCAATTACCTGAACGACGACCAGGTGAGGGGGGGAGGGGAAATTCCCAGGGTTCCCAAAAAAACCCCGGGAAACCGGACGGGAGACGCCTCAAAATATCCCAAAATTATCCCAAAAATACCCCAAAAATCTCCCCCAAAAATCCCGGGAAACCGGACGGGAGACGCCCCAAAATATCCCAAAATATCCCAAAAATACCCCCAAAAAATCCCCAAAAATCCCGGGAAACCGGACGGGAGACGCCCCAAAATATCCCAAAAATAAATCCCCAAAAAATCCCCAAAAATATCCCCAAAAAATCCCAAAAAAACCCCGGGAAACTGGACGGGAGACGCCCCGAAATATCCCAAAAGTACCCCAAAAATACCCCCAAAAATCCCCCAAAAAATCCCCCAAAAATATCCCAAAAAACCCCAGGAAACCACCCAGGAGACGCCCCAAAGTATCCCAAAATATCCCAAAAATACCCCAAAAATCTCCCCCAAAAGTCCCCAAAAATATCCCCAAAAATATCCCCAAAAAATCCCCAAAAATATCCCAAAAATATCCCAAAAATATCCCAAAAATATCCCAAAAAAATCCCAAAAAATAACCTTAAAAAAATCCAAAAAATATCCCAAAAATATCCCAAAAAATCCCGGGAAACCGGGCGGGAGACGCCCCAAAATATCCCAAAAATATCCCAAAAATATCCCAAAAATAAATCCCAAAAAAATCCCCCCAAAAATATCCCCAAAAAATATCCCAAAAATATCCCAAAAAAATCCCAAAAAATCCCCAAAAATATCCCAAAAAATCCCGGGAAACCGGATGGGAGACATCCCAAAATATCCCAAAATATCCCCAAAATAAATCCCCAAAAAAATCCCCCCAAAAATCCCCAAAATATCCCCAAAATCCCAAAAATCCTCCCTGGGGGGGGGGTTCCCCCATTCCAGGGGATTCCCGATCCCAGGGGGAATTCCCAAATCCCAAGGGAACCCCAGATCCCTTGGAATCCCCGGATCCCTCTGGAATTCCCGAACCCCCTGGAATTCCCGGATCCCCCCAGAATTCCCGAACCCCCGGAATTCCCAGATCCCTTGGGGGAATTCCCGGATCCCCTGGGGGAATCCCCGATCCCCCCGTATCCCGGTGCTCCCGTCCCCGCAGGTGAAGGAGCTGCTGACGTCCTTCGGGCCGCTCAAGGCCTTTAACCTGGTGAAGGACAGCGCCACCGGGCTCAGCAAGGGCTACGCCTTCTGCGAGTACGTGGACATCAACGTCACCGACCAGGTACGGCCCCCGGACACGCCTGGGGACACCTGGGACAGCTGGGGACAGCTGGGACAGCTGGGGACACACCTGGGACACACCTGGGACAGCTGGGGACAGCTGGGGACACACCTGGGACAGCTGGGGACACACCTGGGGACAGCTGGGACACACCTGGGACAGCTGGGACACACCTGGGACACGCCTGGGGACACCTGGGATACACCTGAGATACACCTGGGATACCTGAGATATACCTGGGACACACCTAGGACACACCTGGGACAGCTGGGGACACACCTGGGACACACCTGGGACACCTGAGATATACCTGGGGACAGCTGGGGATACACCTGAGATACACCTGGGATATACCTGGGGACACCTAGGACACACCTGGGGACACACCTGGGACACCTGGGACACCTGGGGATACCTGGGGACACACCTGGGATACACCTGGGACAGCAGGGACACACCTGGGCACACCTGGGGACAGCTGGGGACACACCTGGACACACCTGGGGACAGCTGGGGACACACCTGGGGACACCTGGGGACAGCTGGGGACACACCTGGGGACACCTGGGATACCTGAGATACACCTGGGACAGCTGGGACACACCTGGGATACACCTGAGATACACGTGGGATACACCTGGGACAGCTGGGACACACCTGGGGACACACCTGGGACAGCTGGGGACAGCTGGGGATACACCTGAGATACACCTGGGATATACCTGGGGACACCTAGGACACACCTGGGGACACACCTGGGACACCTGGGACACCTGGGGATACCTGGGGACACACCTGGGATACACCTGGGACAGCAGGGACACACCTGGGCACACCTGGGGACAGCTGGGGACACACCTGGACACACCTGGGATACCTGAGATATACCTGG